GATACTCCGTTTTTCCTCTATTATCTAGCTCACAACTTCTCATTTCCACCCTAACTTACAGCATTAGCCTTGATACTAATCTTCTGCCATCCAATCTTATCTCCAGAGGAACCTCTACACTTCCATACTCTATACTAAAATTGTAATGGGAAAAGGATTGAGTGGTAATAGTAGAACCAATCCAATTATGCTATGTATATACCTAAAATGGATCACTCATTACAGAATAAAATCTAAGGCTTATGGTATGATATACCTAAACCAGATTTTCTCCAGCCTTATCTTCCATTTTGTTTCTTTTCCATCCTACCATTTATTTAGTTCTCTTTGTATTTGAAGCTACCTGCACTTACAACACCATTTCATTTTATACCTCCCACTCATCCATCATAACAAAGTTAATCTCTGCTTCTTACCCACTTATAGGCAAATAGAATCACTTCTACTACCAACCCTTCTACTATTACAGCAGCATGCATACTAACTTCCTTAATATAACTCAGCAAGTTCAGAAAGGAAGATTAAAAAAAAAAAAGACCTACCAACAAATATAGCCATACAATCACTGTATCAGGTGTACTGACACATGTTCAACTTAAGAGTAGTTTTAACTTACAATTAGTTTTTTTGGCTATAAGCCCCTTTCCATTGAGGGTGCTTTTATACAATGTTTTGGAGTTGCCTGCCACCTTTCCACATTAAAACAAAAAACTTCTTCAGGGCCGTTGAGCCAAACAAAAATGGAAATCCCTTGATAGGCTAAAAATTGGGTTTAACTGGAATGAAAAGAGCATCTCATTTCACAAAACGTAAAAGTTACAAAGAAGACAGGTACCAATGGCTCATGCCTATAACCCTAACTACTCAGGAGACTGAGATTTGAGGACCATGGAACAAAGCCAGCCCAGGCAAGAAAATCTGTGAGATTCTTATCTCTAACTAGCAAAAAAAAAAAGCAGAAGTGGAGCTATGGCTCAAATGGTAGAGTACTAGACTTGAACAAAAAAATCTCAGAGACAGCACCCAGGCCCTGAGTTCAAGCCCCAGAACAGTCACATACATGCAAAAAATACAAAACAACTGTTATCATTGAGGGTAGTATCTTCCAAGATGATGGAGTAGATACTTTCAAGCTAAGCCACTGAATAGTAACCATAAACTCTGGGCATAATATTAAAACAAAAACAAAACTCTTCTATCTGAAGGCACTATCAAATCAAAAGCAGGCAGCAGAGGGAGTTTAGTGAGTGAAGCCAGTGAGGCTTTTCTTACAGGTTCCAGTCTTCCCTATGCTGGACAGCAAAACCCAAAAGAAACACACAGCCTTACTGTCTTGAAGAACCAGAAAAACCCAAAAGAAACACAGCCTTACTGGCTTGAATAACCAAAGGAGAACCTGAGACAATCATGGCTTTGGAGAAATTCCAGAAAAGAAAGCTAAAATGAGGCAGCATGACATTCTGTATAATTACCAAAATCTGACTCATGCCTATGAGAGTAACAGATACCAAATAGAATAGAGAGCAGTTAGTTATCTTAGAAGAACAGAACCTCTATACTTAGGTGGAGAGAGCAAATACAACTAAACAGCTGGGCATCAGTGGCACATACCTGTAATCCTGCTACTTAGGAGGTTGAGATCTGAGGATCATGGTTTGAAGAAAGCCCAGGCAAGAAAGTCTGTGAGCTGGGAAGGTGGCTAAGTGGTAGAGCGCTTGCCTTGCATGCATGAGGCCCTGGGTTCGATTCCTCAGCACCCCATAAGCAAAAAGAAAAAAGCCAGAAGTGGCACTGTGGCTCAAGTGGTAGAGCGCTAGCCTTGAGCTGAAGAGCTGAGGGACAGCGCCCAGGCCCAGAGTTCAGGCCCCACGACCGGACCCAAAAAAAACAAACAAACAAAAAAAAAGAAAGTCTATGAGACTCTTACCACTAACCACAAAAAAGCTGGAAGAAGTGGCTCAAGGGGCTGGGAAGGTGGCTCAGTGGTAGAGTGCTTGCCTTGCATTCATAAGGCCCTGGGTTCGATTCCTCAGCACCACATAAGAAAAAGAAAAAAGCCACAAGTGGCGCTGTGGCTCAAGTGGTAGAGTGCTAGCTTTGAGCTGAAGAGCTGAGGGACAGCGCCCAGGCCGAGAGTTCAGGCCCCACAACCAGACCCAAAAAAAAAAAAAAAAGTGGCTCAAGTAGTAGAGTGCCAGCCTTAACCAAAAAAGCTAAGGAGATCCAAGTTTCAGTCCAGTTCTGGCATAAAAGCAAAACAAAACAAAATCCATACCTTTAAAGACCAAAGTAAGCCAAGTGCAGTGGTTCATGCTTATAATCCTAGCTTCTCAGGAGGCTGAGATGCTGAGAATCCAAGTTCAAAGCCAGCCCAGACAGAAAGTCCACTTGAGTTGATCTCCAAAAAATAGTCAGTAAAAAACTGGGCTGAAGCCAGGTGCTGGTGGCGCATGCCAGAGGCTCACGCCTGTAATCCTAGCTATTCAGGAGGCTAAGATCTGAGGAACGTAGTTCAAAGCCAGCACAGGGAGGAAAGTCTGTGAGACTCTTATCCCCAATTAACCACCAAAAAACCAGAAGTGGCACTGTGGCTCAAGTGGTAGAGCACTTGCCTTGAGCTGAAGAGTGCAGGGACAGTGCCCAGGTCCAGAGTTCAAGCCCCACAACTGACAAAAACTGGGCTGGAGGCGTGGCACAAGTGAGAGCAAGAGCTGACCAAGCAAACCAAGAAGGCCTGAGGCCCTGAGTCTAAACTCGCAGATTCCACCCTTTCTAAATGACTAAAACATGATCTAGAACTTCTAGATCTTTCACAATGCAGAGAATACAATCCAAAATTATGCACCATGGTGTAGGGGGCATGAAAAAAAAAAAAACACTGCCCAAGGGGGTCAGGGGGAACAAAACAGAGATTAGTAAGCAACAATCTCAAAGTAACTATGATTAAGGACATAAAAGATCCTCAATGAATGAAATAATATAAAATGCTTTTAAAAATGCCACCACAATCTTCATAACTACCAAACTAGAAGTATTAGCTAACTAAAAAGTAGTAACTCATTAAAAAAAAGGAAACTCTACCAACATTTGAACTCAGGGCCTCGCATATGTTTGGCTTGCTACCTCAGCTGACACTTAACTACTCGAGCCACATCACCAACCCTAACAGTTTTTTGGTTACTTTGAAGATGGAGCCTCTTGGACTTTTCTGTCCAGGCTGGCTTCGAACTGTGATCTCTGTAGTCTCCATGTTTATGGCTCTATTCAGAACCCTTCAGCCCTTACTCTTAACTAGTGAGCTATCAAAAACAGAAATGTGACCATTTCCAACTTAGTGCCTCTAAGATAAAATTAAGTTAGTATGGCAAGGAAGGAGTGCCAAAATTTGGTTCCTGCCCCGGTCATTTGGGAACACACTTTACCTCAATAGTGAGTTGGCTGCTCAACAAACACCAATCTTTTCCTTCCTTGCCTATGTTGTCAGGTTTTTTTTTTTTTTAAGGGTTTTCCTGCTCACCTAGAATATCTTCCAACTCCTCCAACAATCTGTGTTACCACTAGGAAAAATCTGACCCCCACCTTTAAACCAAACTGGATAGGCTTATCCTGATCTCTTAACACCACATTTTTACACCGTATCATATTCACCTTAACTTTTCTTTTTTTTTTTTTGGTCGGTCGTGGGGCTTGAACTCTGGGCTTGGGTGCTGTCCCTCAGCTCTTCAGCTCAAGGGGAGCACTCTTACCGCTTGAGCCACAGTGTCACTTCCCATTTTCTAGTGATTTACTGGAGATAAGAGTCTCACAGACTTTCCTTGCCTGGGCTGGCTTTGAACCCTGATCTCAGCCTCCTGAGTAGCTAGGATTACAGGTGTGAGCCACCGGCCCCCAGCTATCTTAACTTTTCTTTTATATGAGACAAACTCCACAAGAAGAAAGGTTTGGATCCATTTGTAATCTGTAATAAGGAAAAAGAACATAGTACCAAATCTAAAAACCAAGATAATATATAAATGTTTTAAACAATGCTTGGCACACAGGAAATAGTGTTATTATATAATCCAATTACCTGGTCCAAGCAATGCATGACCTATAAAAAGCCCTTCAAATGTTTACTGATTGACTAAAGTGGAAATGTTCCCACTTTGTGGCTGCCAGGAAGATTTACATCTCAAGATCACCTAACTGCAAAAGATGGTAGTCTACTATACAAACTCGGGTCTCTAAACCCTTGTAATACCTCCCTGTCTTTTGTTAAGAACAGACTAGATCTATTGTGCTGTTAGAAAAAAAAAAATCCCAACTAACCATAAGTTAGGCTTTTTGTTGGTAAATGCCCTGTTTTGATAGTCATTTCTGGAACCTGGTTTCTTTTTAATTCAATTATGTTCAAACATCTTTGAAATTCAATTTCCTTGCCTATATGAGATGTACTTAAACCTTTAAAGGCAATCAAACTCCCATAATTCTTTGGGTGTAGTTTTAGAGGTACTATTAGTACGACTGTTTACCAAGCACTTAGGATATTCAAAGCACAAGTTGCAGTAAACAACCCAATGCACCCTCATTTAGATCTGAAGAAACTCAGTAATCCTCCAACAAGCAAGCCAGTTTTCTCCAGTAGGCCTTAATTTTATAGCAACGCGACCGCTAGATAAAATGACTCTACCTCTCTAGCCAGGAATCCTAGAAACAGCTATTTTACCAAAGAAAAGCTTAGGCTCCCGGCAGTAGCAAAACAAAAACCTTCACCTAGTGTCCACTCCCTCCTGCCTTTCATAATCCAACTAGGCGTACACTTCCCATAGTAGAGAAGAAAGCCACCATGCAGAGGCCCAGCCTCCCCTCTCCCGACCCGAGGCTTCTCTGAAGGGCGGAAGAAGGCCTCAGCGTCCTTGGTGCAGCTCGTCCGGAGCTCAGAATCCTCCTCTGCCCCAAATTAGGTGAAGTACAAAGAGTCAGAGTGGCACCAGTGGCCAGTTCATCTAGAGCTTTCTTACCCACTGGGCAGTGAGGCTGGCTGCTCTGGCCTGAAACGCCAGGGAGAAGAACATGGCGGGCCAAACTGTACGGTGGTCAAGGTTGCACTAGGAGAGACTGCAGAACATACCCTGAAAGCACGGCGAGGGGGGAGGGGGCGGGTGCACGTCCTCGAACTGACGCACAGCGGACGAGCGCGTCCCCGAGCGGGACGGGGCGGGACGCGCAGCAGGCGGGCGCGGCCCCGATCAGACGCACGGAGAAGGGCGCGGCCCCGAGCGGGACGCACAGCGGGCGTGCGGGCCCCAAGCGGAAAGGAACGCTTGGTGGCGCGCGGGTTTGGCGGGGAGGGAGATGGGCGGGGTGTTGAGAGGGCGCAGTCCCTTAGCTCTCTCCCGTAGTGCTCTGTAGTCTGATCTGGACTTCTAGGACATCACTTCCCACTCAAGGGCACAATGGCTGAGGACTGGGTGTATGAAAATGGGGGGGAGGGGGGAGAGGAGGGGGTTGGGCAGCTGTGGGCGTCAGTGGGCGGAGACTTTGCCTGGATGCTGAGCTTCATTGGAAGCCGCCTTGGGGCTAAAATGCAGGTACTGAGACCACCGCTTAGCTGCCAACCTAGAGGTAAAAGCGTCTGTGAGCCTCTCCCTAGGCCTTGGAAGATAAATCTCCCACCCTAGATGTATGGGGTGAGCTTCCTTCCTGGAGAGTTTTGTGAGAGCTGTGAAGAGTATTGCAGTTACTTTAAAAAAATCTGTTGCAACCCTCAATACAGCTTATTTTACAAATAAGTTCGAGACAAATGCTGCCACCCAGTAAGCTAGACAAAGACATCAAATGCCCTAGGCTCCTCTTCCTTTGCTTTAGAGATGTGTGCCGAAATATGTAGGGATGAAATGATAGGATATCTGGAATTTGCTTCTGAATACTGGAAAAGTGAGAGATTTAAAAATGAAACAAGGCACTTGTGGTGCCTTTCACTTGTAATCCTGGCTAATGGAAGGATGAGATCTGAAGATGATGGCTCGAAGCCATCCCAGGCAGTCCATGAAATTCTTATTGCTAATTAAGCACCCAAAACGCTGGAAGTGGCCCAAGGGATAGACCTCTAGGCTTAAGAAAAACATAAAGCTCAGGGACAGTGCCCAGGTTATGAATTCAAGCACGCGCACACACTAATACAGAGGGAGAGGGAGAGAGGAGAGCGAAATTATGACCATATGCAGGTGAGGGTTTGTGAAACTTCCCTCTAAAAGTAGTGACACTTCACTTAAGGTACTTGACTTTGATCGCAGAATAAGAATTTTTGGACAAGCCGCACTGGTAAGAAAGCCTGGCAGAGCTTTATTATAAGCAAGCCTGAAAACAGACAAAATAGCAGAGACTCACTAACAGAGTGTGGGTGTTATCAAAGAGAGAGACACACAGCTCTTTGCTGTGGGTATTTATATGGTAAAGGGGGGGGGGAGTGTCTGACTTCAAAGTTATGCAAACATAGTGTTTTAGCTTTGCTCTAATTATTCCTAGTGTTACACTTTCTGAGTCCTTGGATGTTTTGGGCATTTCTTTCTGGTAAGAGTGCATCCTGCCATAAAACAGATGCATATCCTAGAGATAAGGAAAGTGTCCAGTTGTCTACATTTTGGGTAAGAGGTTGCTTACATTTTGGGAGAACATTTCTTTCAAGAAGGCATACATGCTGCCAAACAAATGTTAATTGTTGGGGTAAGAAATGTATCTCTCAGGAAGGAATGCACCCAGTTGTTTTTCTTTGGAGCATAGATAGTGTTTCTCTGTTTCTTAATACCATATTTCTGAGTTGCCTTCACCAGGCCTCACTTTACCCAGTTTATCCTGCCTCAAAATGATTGGCTTTGAAAGATACGTGTTGAAGTTGTGCAGTAGTTCCTACATACATATTTGAAAATATCCATTAGAAAACAAAAAGCCGCCAGTTCATGATATTTGTTCATCTTTGGAAATTCCAACAAATAGCAGCCCAAGTGTGCACAATACTGTGTAATTGCCTTGTTATTTTTCTTCACTGCCATCCTTCCTTGGTTTATTATCCTATACTCACTCCTTCCCTTTTGCCCATCTCTGGCAAGAAAAAAAATCCAAAAGTAGAGCAGTTTCACAGTTAATTCTTTCTACTGCTCAAGGATGTCCTAACGATTTAAGAACTTTCCATCTTTTTATTCCACCAATTCTTATGATGGTCTTGTGGCCAGCATACTTGATACAACAAGTATATGAAGATGACAACCTTCCAAAGAAGAGAAACAAATCTCAAATATACTGAAAGTTCTTCCACCAGATGCCTTTATCTCATTGGTATGCATACTATATTGATTAAGGGGAGTTGCTATAGAACAAGACTTCTGGGGTTCCTATCTTCTGAGCTCCGTCCATCTTTACCGCTTTCTAGCTGTGTGGCTTTAGGCAAAATTACCTGTGTGGTTTCAGTTTAGTCAGGTTAGCAGTAGCACTTGTTCTGCAGCTTTGCCATGAGAATTAAATGAGTTGATACCTGAAATGTTTTTTAAAATGTGTGTATCCTAATGCAGAGGAAATACTCTGTAGCCACTGTCCACATCCTGGACAGAGAAGCTCCATCCAGGTTGTCGAGGCACAAACACTGTTCACCAGGTCCAATAATTGCCACGCCACCTCCTGCGGAGTCTGCATGAGAGATTGCATTAGACAAAGAGTTTCAAGGAAGCATGCCTGCAGGAAGGGGGTGTTGGTTCAAGGCTTCCCATACACTTGGCTGCACCTTTATAGCCTCTACCTTTATTCTTACTATATTCTTCTTGGCTGTACATTCGTTGCCTTTATTCTTGTTTTGGATCTTTTTCTATTGATCTGCAATTGAGCATTTAGTTTCTTTCCAGTCCTGCGACGGACCAGCTCGGCCGGAGCACTGGAACTGACAGGACAGGGATCTCAGGATAGGTGGGCAAGGAGTCGGCGAAGTGATAAACAGACACAGACTCAAAAGAGTTGCAGCTGAGTGTATCTTTATTGAGGAGAATTAACGTTTTTATACAGTGTGCGATTGTGACATAGATTCTTTGTTTATTTAAGCACGTAACCAATTTTTTTTAAAGGCAAAGCATTGATGAATTACATGAAAATTGATGACTATCCCACCAACTGTTTAAGCTAAGTAGTGCGAAACAAGTCTAGCATATAGTTTAATACAATGCGTCATCTTTCAGCCTTTTTATGTTTAATAATTAACAAACCTAAAACAGGGCTATATTTACATTGTACTCTTTATTTTTTCCATATATTTTCAAGTCCCTTTGAAACCATCCTAAAAACCACTTTCAGGTTAAGTCAGGCATTCTTCATTTCCTATGATTTTAATCCCAATATTCATTCATATAAATTTCTAATTGTTGTTTTAAACTATCTTATTGTTGTTTAAATAATAAACACCATAATGATCTAGATCTACCTAATCTTTGTATAAAATCTTATGAGTTCTAAAATACTCTTTTTCCTTTTATGTTTATCCAGCTATTTTCATCTTTATAAGCTCCTGTATAAGGCAATGGTTCATTGGTCGGTTCAGGAAATGTGATGTTACTAACTTTATATTTTGTGGGAAACCAGCATCTATTCCCTATAACGTAAGCTGGACTAAACTTAATCATAACTGTTGGGGGAATCTTTCTTTTCCTTCTATAATCAGAGGTCCCTTTTTTTAGAACTCTCTGGACTACTGTGATAACTCTTTCTAATTTAGTTTAATTCACTAATTCTGTCTGTTGTGACATATCTGGAAATTTTAAGTTTCTATATTTACTATGCGTGAGCCACAAAACTGCTTGTGAAGATGTAGGAGTTTCTGGAGGCAGAGTCACATCAAATGATAGATTGATTGGGGCATTGCCCACATTTAATCTTTGGTCCTAGTCTTTATTATTTAGAGAAGCCGTCTCTATTGGACTGGAAAGATACAACATGCTCTGTTCGCAGATCAATAGAAAAATAGCCAAAACGAGAATAAAGGCAACGAATGTACAACCAAGAAGAATATAGTAAGACTAAAGGCAGAGGCTATAAAGGTGCAGCCAAGTGTATGGGAAGCCTTGAACCAATACCCCTTTCCTGCAGGCATGCTTCCTTGAAGCTCTTTGTCTAATGCTATCTCTCATGCAGACTCTGCAGGAAGTGGCATGGCACCGTCCAATAGAGACAGCTTCTCTGAATAATAAAGACTAGGACCAAAGATTAAATGTGGGCAATGCCCCAACCAATCTATCATCTGATGTGACACTGCCTCCAGAAACTTCTACAACTTCACAAGCAGTTTTGCAGCTCATTCATAGTAAATACAGAAACTTAAAATTTCCAGATATGTTACAAAAGGCAGAATTAATGAATTAAACTAAGCTAGAATGAGTTATCCCAGAAGCTCAGAGAGTTCTAGAAAAAGGGACCCCTGATAATAAAAGGAAAAGATTCCCCCAACAGTTATGATTAAGTTTAGTCCAGCTTACATTATAGGGAATAGATGCTGGTTTCCCATCAAATATAAAGTTAGTGACATCACATTTCCTGAACCGATCGATAAACCATTGCCTTATACAGGAGCTTATAAAGATAAAAATAGATGAGTTAATGTAAAAGGAAAAAGGGTATTTTGGAACTCATTAGATTTTATACAAAGATTAGGTAGATCTAGATCATTATGGTGTTTATTATCAAAACAACAATAAGATAGTTTAAAATAACAATTAGAAATTTATGTGAACAAATATTGGGATTAAAATTATAGAAAATGGAGAATGCCTGACTCAACCTGGAAGTGGTTTTTAGGATGGTTTCAAAGGGACTTGAAAATATATGGAAAAAATAAAGATACAATATAAGTGCAGCCCTGTCTTAGGTTTGTTAATTATTAAACATAAAAAGGCTGAAAGATGACGCATTGTATTAAACTATATGCTAGACTTGTTTCGCACCACTTAGCTTAAACAGTTGGTGGGATAGTCATCGATTTTCATGTAATTCATCAATGCTTTGCCTTTAAAAAAATTGATTACGTGCTTAAATAAACAAAGAATCTATGTCACAATCGCACACTGTATAAAAATGTTAATTCTCCTCAATAAAGATACACTCAGCTGAAA